CTGCTGTTTTCTCCAATTCAGTTATTTCCAATCGCCCCTTCCTTCTGAAACTTTTCCATTCTTTACAGCTTACCTTTCAGAACCACTGGTTTTTCTAAGCAGAATGGGCATTATCAGGTCCACTGAACATGTGTGGAAAAGGAGGCAGAAAGAGAAAGACTAAATTCAGAAATTACAGAGAGAAGTCCTTAACATAACCAGCTCAAAAGAAATACGTGAACAGCCACTCCAGGCCTTCGACTCTGGTCTTCTGAACTTCCGACTCCGAAGTTCAGGTTATTTCTTAGAGTCTCCCTGAACGGGACAGAGAGCATGTGTGCATTTGCATTATCTACATGTGTGGTTTTATAGCTTCAGATGATAAAGATCATATGTGATGTAGGTAAGTTGACGAATAAATGTCTACAGTAGGAGGTGACTTCAAATAGGAGGGGAAAGAGGAAAAAGAACGTTTCAGTTAGAAAACATTCCTATTATCTTGTGATAAAGGACTGTGAAAAATATGGGCAGATGATGCCTTGCATCACTGCTCTCAAACCGTGTTAAATTAAACCAGTTATGTGAAAAAAGAATCCTAAACTACCCTGTGTGGTAATCAAAGAACATCTAATTCCTTACAAAAACTATGGAGGCTGAGAGGAGGAAAATGAATCACCCCCAAACCCCCAAGGTGGTGACTGAGCTGGAGCCAGGATTCAGGTCTTCTGCGTCTTCCTCCTGGGTTCTTTCTGCCACATCCATCTGTCTCTGAGCTTCGCTAGCAAAGGATGATCCTCGAATTGCCTGAACATGGCCTTTAAGTGGTATGACCATATGATTTATTATCCAAACCAGGGCACCTGAGAGTGAAAAGGGGCACTTTTAATAATTGGGACAACAGAAGGAACCTGAGAATGTCTCAACCACACTGAGATGTACGGTCACCCTACCTTTGTATGTTACTTCGCACTGTCCTGATTTTCACATTAGAACTACTGAAGCTTTTGTGGTCTGTTTCCCCTTTCTGATCCACAGAGATCTATCCAGTTGGATCAAATAACTGAATTGAACTCTTTTAAATGTTTTAACTTGTGTTGTTCATGCACAGAAACTGAAGAAAGCTTCCTCCTTCAGCACCTACCCACACACACCTTGGACAGATCGAAGCCATCGAATTTCTGAAGGTTGCTCAAGTAAGATCACCTAATGGGTATACCCCAAATCCTGCATGTCCACTGAAGAATCGCAGCTCTCTCTTCTTCCTTGACGGATGTTCATCAAATCCTGCCCAATCGATCTCACGGGTATTCACCTACACATCCCCAACACCACCACCAAACATCTTGATCCAACCCACCTTGCTCATCATCTGTCTCCTGATGACTGGTTCCTCCTTTTCATTTCCTCTAACCTCTCCCCACACTGCAGCCTCAGTGATCGTCCAAAACACTCGTCAGCCGCATACTATTCCTGCTCTCAAGCCTGCAAGGCTTCCCATCTGCCCTGTAAGAAGGCACTGACATGCCCAATGCCAGGGAGGCACAGGCAGGGCATCCAAGAGTGGCTGCTGACCAGTTCCTGATCATTCTTATGAATCAGACAGAACAACGTTTTTCTCAGAAACTTTCACACTAAACTCTATTAAGACTTAAAATTTAGTGATCTGACTCTCTAATGAAGTGCAGTCAATACGACGGCAGGGGCCACTGTACTTCAGTGCCTAGCACTGGCCCAACACGGAAAAGCTCAAGAATGTGTGACTGGAAGAATAAATGAATAAGTGGATGTTAGTAATTTACAGTTATATGCATCAAGTAACAAACTGCTCTGGGCAAGTCACAAACATGACTTTTTAAAGAACACCCATTAATTTCTGGACAATGGAAATATATTTTTCAACCAATCACTGTGATGGCCAGACGCTTTTCTTCTCTATTTTAAAAATCTTTATTGTTGAAAGTATTACAGATGTCCCTCCCCCTTCTTCCCCCATTGACCCCCTCCTCCCTGCTCCCATCCCCCTCCTGCCTTCCTCATACTGTTGGCTGGATCTTTAATTCTAAGAAAACAATGAGCAATTCATACAATGTATAAAGTACAATGCTATGTGGGTCTTATTTGGGGCCGAATGGTTAAAATTCAATAAAATCTCCTGAATATAAAAACACAGAAGAGAATTCTGAGAAGTCCCTGCACTATCTGCTCTGTAGCTCAACTGGGCCTCGCAGTCCTGACTAGTTGATTGCCCACCTTCTGCTAACTATGGTGAGGTCTGAAAGAGGGAGCTCTATCCTAGCCCAAGGAAGCCAGAACTGCTCAGGCTCTGTCTGGGATGGTCCCAGGGAGCTTTCTAGACTTGAGATGATTTAGAAGCATCACTGCGTGGGTGGCTTTTATAAGACTATTTCTATTAATAGATGTACATTCCTAAGAGTAAGAAAAGAACAGGGTGAATAAAAATAATATGTTGGATTCAAAGTTGTGTCCTCAATCTTAAGTGAAAAGTAAAAAAATTCCTAAGTGGGGGGAAAAAAAGTATTTACCTACAAAATTTCAGCTAATAGTTGGGCAAAAGATATAGCGGCCCTGGCCCGTTTGGCTCAGCGGTTGGTGCATTGGCCTGTAGATCAGAGAATCTTGGGTTCGGTTCCTGCTAGGGGAACGTACCAAAAAAAAAATAAGAAAGATACAGCTGAACTAAATCTACCACTAAACATGTAAATTGTTCTGGGATAGTCATCCCTTAGGAGAACTGGAAACATTAATTTAGGGCTAATAGATTAACCCTTTATTTCTTTGTCAAGTCACTTTTATAGTGTGTGTGTATATATGTGTACGTGTGTGTATAAACTTGTGTTCAAGTCTGGAGGAGACCCAGCTATATTCAAATGAAATATCTCTTCCATATCTTGCTCTCTTCTCTCAGGAAAATATCCACATTACTTTGGAAGAAAAGAGGCTAATCATTTAAGAGATCCATCCATCTTGCTGAAGTCTTAAAAAATGGCCTTGCAGTTTAAAGAGAAGGAAAGTAGGAAACCAGGACCTGAGTTGCATTTCTTTATCTGCATCCCAAAGTTACCCACCCTAGTGATCCTTTATGAACAGGTCCTTCTTTCCTTGTTGTGGGACAAGACAGAGACTGACAGCATACTGTGAGCTCCAGTTTAGATTCTGCCCTTCCCTGGCTGTACCTCCAGGCAGGTGAGTTTCCTCATGGCTAAAAGGATCACATCTCAGAGTTCTAGCCACTGTATAAGACAGTTTCGCTCAACTTCACATCATGTGAAAGACCAAAGCTGATAGAGGCGTAGTGGCTTTCTCAGAATCACAAAACTATGGGAGACGGAAACAGGAGTGAAATTTCACCCTCTGAATTACACACCCTTTCTCCCAGCACAGTGTGCTCTAACATCCTTGAGAAAGTGTCCCTGAAGACAAGGGTGGTGCCATATTAAAGATCAATTTCCCCAGAGATCAAAAAAGGAAGAAAAACAATTACTGAAGAAATCGCTCATACCTAGGTTTTTTTCATCCTAACTACTACTTACCATAGTTACTGTTTGATACACCATATTTTTATAATGCTGAATACTAGGGTCAAGGTCCTATGTTTTTCTGGATAGGTTTTATGAATAAAGATAAAAAGCTTATAGATACTGAAGGAATTAGAACATGTTATAGGAATACTACAACGACTTAATTCTCAATTTCTTTCGAGACATTTTCTCTTCAGAATTAAGTGACCTACAAAATACTCAACATAAACAACGGACCTGAAATATTACGTGAAAGTGATAATGTAATAATGGCAACAACTGTGCATCAGAGTACTACTAACTTGAAAAGAACAGGGCAAATCCTCTCCAAAAGATGCTGATTTTTTTTAAAGCACAAAACAAGGTCCTTAAATATCTTAGCCACAGATGCTAAAAAAATTGAATTTATGTCTAGTTTAATTCAATAATGAAAAAGTCAGCAATTAAAGTGTAGATAAACTTCCCTTTGTCCCTCTTTTCCTGAGAAACTTTCAAATGTTGAAAATCAATTCCTTTTGTCCTCTTAATATTCATCTGCTACACATTAAATAGAAATTCTGGGCACAGAGTGATTCCCACAGGGTCTTTCATCTACGGAGAAGCCTGGTACAAATTAAATTCTTACTCACCCTCACAAATTATAGATATGTATTATAGTAGACCATTGATTTATCAGTTCATGGTTTTGCTCATTCAGCTAATTGTGGTCCTTTATGTACAGTTACTTTGGGGTTGGGGGTCTAGTGCTGTATTAATGTGGAGTAGTACCACGTGCTCTGACTTACAGACCACTTTAGAAAGCATTCCCTTAGATACTGTGTTTTAGTTAATTCCCAGATCTTTGAGCCATTTAGGCTGTGTGTGTGTGTCTGTGTATTTTAATATACTGGAACAATACAAAATAATATTGCTTCCATCAGTGATGTTATATAATGAAATGATCATAATAGTTATTACAAATAATATGGAAAAACAGACTGTGCAGAAAATCTCTTAGAAATGTTTAATTGATGCAAACATTGTTTTATAATTGGATTTTAGGACCAAGAGTTAAGGAAATGACATTGATCCCAGGCACATAATATGTTTTTGGAGAGCACAGCTTACACAGGCTATCTCTATTAAATCCTTTCTATTAGAAGGAAACCACATACATATGCTAACACACACACAGAGCTAGCTGAGTTTTGAGTCTCTAAATGGTACCGGGAAGTTATAAGAATTCCACTTTAATCTCTCAAATGTATTAAAAACTTCCTTTGGTGGAACTGTTCTTTTAGGTCTTTCATAAAGACAAAATTTGATCGGCTCCTGATCAATTAATTCCACAAGTGCGGGAACTCCCCAAATTATTCTAATTTCCCCCCAAAGATCTGTTTGTCTAAATCCAATATCTGGTTTTATGACCTCCAGGATCAAAAACGGGCACCCTAATTAGTGGAAAGTATCTTCTTCCCTCGGAAGCACCCACCAAAGCCTCACCTCGCTGGAATCCTCCTGCTGGTTGATGACGGCCAGCGCGTCCTCCGCGGCCTGCCGCTTGGCCTCCGCGACAGTGCGCTCCATTTTGGCACGCTCTGTCGTGATCATGTCGTGGGCTTTCCGCTCGGCTTCAGACACCGCCTTCTGCAGCTCGGTCATCGCCTGGCGCTTCACCTCGTTAACGGCCTCCTCTGCATGCAGGCAGACCAAACCGGACAAGAGAACGTTTCTCTGTTAGCACAGGACCTTGGTACTGATTGCTACTACACAGATTTCTACAGAACGGGCATGACTGTCATCCCATTTATTGGGCAGTTCTTCTGGCTACCTAAAAAACCAGATTTCTGAAATGCATTTAGGAAAACAATGGGTGGAACTTTAACTTGCACTTCTGGAAATGTTTTTTTAAACTACCTATGTAAGTACTGAGACTTTTCTACAACTAGTACCTCCAGAAAGTATTGAGAGAGCAGACTAAGTATTTAAAGGACAAAAACAACCAGAAGAAACCTGTCTCGATAATTCACACACACAAGGAGGGTGGTCTGCCATAATGCTATAGGTCAGCGATTTTCAACCTGTGTGCTGCAAGAATTTTTAAAACATGCAATACCTGACTATTTAGTCAGGGGCACTGACCTCTCTTCCCTTAGACTGCCAAATAAATAAATGACAACAGTCAACCCAACAATAGCTGTCTGGTGTGAATGAATCAAAATTATACCTATTTTTTGGTCAGACTGGCCAAAATTATAATATATTTTTTGGTGTATTGTAGAATTTTATTAATGGGTTTATGTGTGTCATAGGATGCAAAAGGTTGAAAATCACTGCTACAGGATAATATGAACATGGAAAATACATGGGTAAAGTTTTCAGAAAAAAGAGAAAGGAAATACATTTTACACATAAACATATATAAGTGAAAACAATTATTTTAGTGGTAAAAAATAGAGCACAATAGTAAAAAGGTAATTCATATAGCAATTAAGTTAATGTAGACCTTTTAAAGAAAATCGATGGTGAGACAGACAGACGATTCAGCTTTTCTTTTTCTTAAATCATTTCCTGAGTGATGTGGATATGTGCCTTTATAGACTAAATGACAGAGATTTTTAAAAATCATTATGTCATTTCCAAATTCTAAGCTGTTGTCTATCTGCGTAATCAAATAAGTGCACAGTTTCAGGTAACCAACTGTTGCACTGGACAAACATAATTGAATCATACCACAGGCCAAAATAATCAGGCCTGACTATAAAACCTGCAAGGTGTCAAGTTAGCTTTTTATTTTCGGCTGTGGAAAGTGTACAAAGATTTGGCTAATGTACAATATAAGATTGACAACTAAAATGAGTAATTTCCATTTAAAAAATTAACTGTTCTAATTAACAAGGGAAAATATCCTCCCCCTGAATTAGTTTATCTAATTTTCATCTTTATTCAAAGCAAAATGACAATGATTAATTGAAAATTTAATAAGCAGTAATTATTAACTTGGCAAACCTAGTACCAATTAACACTCTATTAAAACTAATTATGACATGTTTCAAGTGCTTGCACTTAATTGTTTCACCCACTTAAAAAGCACCTTAATTAAATGTTCTATTTAATTAAAAACATAGATTCCTAATAAAACTGTTTTACTGTAGATTAAAAATGTAAGAGATGCAAATACTCCTATGGTTTCTTAAATTTTTATGGTTTATTTCACACATCCACAGTCTGTGACTTGAGGACTGTCGAAAGCCCTCCACTGGTAATTAACTGTTATGACTTCTGTAGCCTTCACTGTTTTAGCAGCATTTTTCCTTAACTTCATTCATTTGCCATTACTGTCTGATACGTTTTATAAACTAAAATATAAGGAAAAGGGCCAGACTGGAAACAGTAACTACAATACCTTAAGCTTTTACTGGTTTCTTTAAGATATGCAATTAAACTCTGATTAGAAGCAGTGTATTGCAGGGCTCGCAGCACCTTCTCCAGGAATAGGCAAAAGAAGCCTTTATTACCCTATCATAAACTCCTTGGGGCACCAGGAAGTTCTGCCCTTCTAACTATACTGCCAGGGTCTAATTTAGTTTGAATATTCAAAGTGAATTAAAATTCTATCTAAGTGGTAATATAGGACAATAATTTTTGCTTACCATCAAAGCTGTAGCTTGACTAATTGTGTATGCAAATCAGGCAATTTATATTTAAATTATGCATTCCTATTCTAATCACACAGGCACGTACAGATCAGTAAAGAGAATTGGTAGGACATTTTCAAGGTGCTTGAATATTTATTACCAAGTGCAAACACTCACTGATCAGTTGAAAAATATATACTGAAGAAAAACATTCAGGTGCAATTAAAACCCATCTTTATGTTAGATTCTTTCCAATTTTATCAAGACCTTTTGTAACTCTGGGGTGTGTTTTGTTGCATTTGCTGTTGCTTTTAAAATTACTACTTTGACAGGAAAACTGATGAGACCGTCAACATTTGTTAGATTCTAAATACTTTAAATGTATGCTGTTATATTATTATACAACATAAACATTTTAAATAAATTCTGTAGATTAAATAATAGTAATGTAGTATACTGCCCTCATTTTGGTTACTGTATTGTGGTTGGATAAGAGAATGTCCTGTTGTTAGGAAATACACACTAAAATGTTGGGAGTAAAGGGAAATGACATCTGTGACTTACTTTCAAATGTTTCAGGGGAAAATGTGATGCATAACAGAAAAAAGAGAGCGAAGGAGGAAAAGAGAGAGAAAAGATATTAAAGCAAATACAGTAAAATGGGAAAAACTAGGTGAAAGGTATAAGAAAATTCTTTATAATATTTTTTAGTACTTTCTGCAAGTTTGAAATCATTTCAAAATAAAATGGTGGAAAATATTATATGATGTGCCTTTCAGTACAGATTATGCTTTTTGCAATTATCATTTTCTGTGAAAAGGGACACATTGATTATACTACACTGACTTTTGAGAGCTCTACCCTTGATATTTTTCAAGTGCTTTAAACTTTATTTTATTTGCTTATCATTTGTCACAAAGGTAATGTATAATATTTTCATTTCAAAGATATACTTTTTAGGATTTTTTCTAAAAGAATTTTTTTTTGCCCACAGCAAATTCTAGGATCTTGGAAAAAGCCTTCAAATTGTAACAAGCTAAGTGCAGATTTCACATTCTGCCCTTGGTGTTTTCATTATGTTGGACGCCTTGACACTGACAATACCAGACATGCTTTTAAAGAAGCCTATAAAGATAAATATTATACGCAGCCTTTTGAGATTTCAAGATGAAACTGTCATCTACACTTTGGGAATTTAATGCACTCCTTGAAATTTAGCATCCATCCATAGAAAACTATTCCTAAACTGTTCTTGTGCAGATTAGGGATATCACTGTGTGAAGAACAGAAATTTAACCACCACCACACCAAACCATATTTTAGACTGAAGACCTAATATACATAATAGGCATGTCTAAAAAATGTTCCAAACATTTACTTAGTGTAGTTGTGTTTTTTCATCTTTTAAACAACCGCTTCATTGTTATATAATTAACAAATTGTGAAATTCACTCGTTTGGAGTTTATGGTTCAATGATTTTAGTATACTTGGAGTTGTACTACCGTGACCACAATCAATTTTTAGTAATACATATAGTGCAGTTTTGAATCTGCTTCCAATTGCTTACCACTTATGGTAGGACTTCCTTTGTGCATAGCTATTCAAGTTGATTTTCCTACAAAGGTGGTCTAGTCAGAAAAATCTGCTCTCACTAAAGCAGTCAAACAAAGAACTGAGCAGATAATAGCCCAGAAAGAATTTGAATTACACAAGACTTCACTGTCAATTTTTCTTTATGCACTATCAGAGATTTAACCTGCATGCATATAAATAAGGGAGATGCAAACATTCTTTCCCTTAAATAAAAAGTCATCCTTCTGCCGAACAAAATAGGAATTCTTTGTACCTCTTATTGGAATAAGTTGCACTGACAACTTGTAAATGGGAGAGAAAAATAGCCAGAAGAAAGATGTAGCAATTCTTTTTCCAGGGAGGTGGCATCCAGCACATTTTAACAGCTTAGGAATATCCCATCACTATCCTCTACACAGAAACTCTTAGAGATGATGTTGTAAATCTGGTAAGACTATGCAGCTAAGCAACATGTACAGTTAACCTTTAACTTTAAGCTGAATGGGTCTGTCTGATTTGTCTATTGGACATGCAAGAGATCTTTCTGGTTCTTTTTATTTTTTATTTATTTAAAAAAATTTTTTTCCTTTATTGATTTTTAGAGAGAGAGGAAATGAGAGGAAGAGAGAGATAGACACATTGATGAGAGAGGATATTGATTGGCCGCCTCCTGCATGCCCCCCTCTGGGGATCAGGCCCACAACCTGGGCATGTGTCCTGAACAGGAATCGAACTGGCGACCTTTTTGTGCATGGGTTGATGCTCAACCACTGAGCCACACTGGCTGGACTCTTTCTGGTTCTTAATCTCAATTACCAAGCCTAGAATACTATCATTTTTAAATTCCTTATTGCTCTTAAAAAAACAGATATTTCTTAGAAAATCTATAAAAACACCTGGATAAGCGCTAAGTGACCAGAGAGTCAGAAAGTTGCACAGAACTGCACACATACCAAAGTCAAATCAAAACCAAAAGAGAAAACTTTTATAAAAAACTAAAACAAAAACTCTTTCCCTTGACCCTTGTTCCCTGATTAGTGTTCCTAGCCCTACACCCATCCGACCCCTTGCTGAGATAACATTTTTCAGTTTTTCAGCTCGGAAAAATGATTTTAACATTTGGAGTTACAGCAGCTCAAAGCCACACTACATGTTTGTCCTGTCATGTTTAACTCTTGAAACAGGTTTATGCTTCATCTCCTGAGCTGGTTTTTATAAGCTTTTTACTCAAGGTCTATAGTGCTCGTATTCCACCAAGATTCAGCCAAATCTGAACTTCTTTAAGCCCAATATTTCAATGAGTTATTAGGAACTTTACATTTTATTAAAAATGTAGAGCAATATCTCTTAATGAAAATCCAATAGTGTAAATGGAAAAGAAAAATAGAAGTTTAATGACTTTGTCTTTTAACTTAAAAAAATATTTAGCTTTGATCATTGAATATTATTAAATAATTAGCACTGAAGATCAATTTTAAAAACTGGTTGCAACCATAAAGTTTCTGAGTGTCTCAACAAGTCAGTTAATTTTTATGTTGTTTTTATTAAAATTTAAGAATTCAGAGGTAAAGGCTAAAGGATGCAATTTAAATTATAAAGCATCACTGTTTTGTTTTGTTTTTTTTCACAAAGAAAAAATTGCATGAAATGAAACCATTATAGTCCCTGAAAAATAGGGTTTTATGATGGAAATATTGCCGGACCCTCAATTACAGTACCAATAGCATGTGCTACTAAAATAAAAATGATGTCACATTCTAATCAGGTGTGGTTTAAGAATACTGAAATCAGGATTTTTATATGTTGTTTTGTTGGGGGGGGGGGTGTTTTGTGTTGTTTTGTGGTGGTTGTTGTCAGCCGTAAAGTCCTTTCTTGTCATTCTTCACATCACTGCATTTAACAACTGCACACAGCTGCCAGAACACTGAAGTCGTGTTTTTAAACAATTCTTACCAGCTTTCTTCCAGATCTCCTCTGGCACGTATCCAGAAGCAGGCCTGTGAAGGAATTCCCGATGTGCATCTACAAAGAGGATACAAAGCAGTGGAGAGAGGAGGGAAGCACATAAGCACTGTTGTGTCATTATGCCGAGTAGAAGTAAGCTATGCCCATTTTATTGGCTTCTTTACAAAAACATAATTTTTAAAGGCTAAGCATTTCACTTCTAGAAAATAAACAACAGTAGCAAGACCAGTCATCAGGGCTCAAGGCAAACAGGTCACTGGTCTAATGGTATGCTCAAAGCTAAAGCAATGTTAGCAATTTCATTATACAGTATGTTTGGGAATGCTGTTCCCAGCATGGGTCACTATGGGAATATCAATGGGTATATTTTATTTTAAAAAAGTAAATTTTATTGACAGTTTTCCTTTTAAGAGTCAAATTGGTAGTTAAAAGATCAAATGTTAGGATAATAAAATTTTCACACAGCTCTGCCTCTACCACCTTTCAATAAATAGTGAGCCTTACTGTGTGGCTAACCCATTCTCACACTTCATTGCTTCTTGTCAGCTGATTTCTCAACAGAAACTTTGCAGGCCAGAACAGAGTGGCAAGAAATAGATGAAAAGAAAAACAAGGACCTACAACCAAGATCACTCTACCTAGCAAAGATATCATTTAGAATCAAAGGACAGATAGCTTTCCAGACAAGGAAAAGCTACAGGAATTATCACCACCAAACCAGTATTATATAAAATGTTAAAATGTCTTCTTTAAGAAGAAGAGGAAAAAAAAAGATAAAAAATATGAACAATAAAATGGAAATAAGTACCAAATATACATATAGTTCAGCTTTTAAAAAGTTCACACAAATTAGATCATATGGATTTGACTTGGGTGGAAGCAAGAGAGAATCATTAGAATGGATTCAAACATTCAGTTGACCAAACAAAATTAGTACATGCTTTACAAAAAAGAAAATGAAGTTCCACTTCAAATGAAACACTGCATATTATTATGCTGGTCAAATTTTAAAAGTTTGAGAAAACAGATAATGTAATAAAAGCTGATGTAGGAATGCCAACTTCCAAATAGCATGTTCATGAAAATAACATAAAACCTTTTATATATTTTATATATGTATAAAAATAAAAAGTGTATACAGTCTTCCATAGCTAAAATATTCACTATATGTCTAACATATTGAATTTTCAATGAAAGCACATGAATTAGACATTTTGAGGAAGAAGAAAATAATTTTAACCAAAGAACTTATATGCATATATACATAACCAATGGACACAGACAATAGTGTGGTGAAGGCAGGGGGTTAGAAGTGAGGAGGAGGGGGTCAATGGGGGAAAAAAGGAGGGGCTTCTGTAATACTTTCAACAATAAAGATAATTTTTTTAAAGAACTAAAAGGTCAAAAGAAATTCAATACAGTTCTCTATATTTTACAAAGCTACACAATATCAAAAATGGAAAAAATTGATTTAGTTAAGTATATGTCATTTTATATTTAAATGCCTTAAATAAATTTGAATGTTTTAAATCCTGTAGGGTACATAGATTATCACTTTACTAGTAAACAAGATATCCCAATTATTTTGAATTAGAAAAGACATTATTTGGTGAAGGGTATAAACTCTGTACTATCTTTGTAATGTTTCTTTAAATCTAAAATTATTCCAAATACAAAAAGGTTATTTTTAAAAGTTTACATTGTAATTTTATGACTACTTTATAACTGGAGAGATTAATTTCTATAAGTAAACAACAAAATGTTTTTATTTAAGTAATTTTCATTCATGAAACAAAGAAACCTAGATAAAGTAGTTTGGTGCATACTTGACTTCAAGAAAATGTGACATAGCTAATCGGATTTGTCAAAATCACTTTCCACACCACTATAACAGTTTCCAGAAGAAATGAAGTACCATCAAGTTCACATTCACTCACATGACACAATGAAACAAAGATATTTACTTATGACAACTTTTAAAGACAATTTTTAGGAAAAGATTATGGCTTAAGAATAGTTTATTCTTAAAGGAGGCAAGAATACACAATGGGATAAAGACAGTCTATTCAATAATTGGCCAGATACATGCAAAAAATGAAACTGGACCACCTTCTTACACCATATACAAGAATAAACTCAAAATGGATTAAAGACTTAAATGTAAGACTTGAAACATAAAACTCCCAGAAGAAAGCACAAGCAGTAAAATCTCTGACATTCTCTTAGCAATATTTTTTTCTGATATATATCCTTGAGCAAGGAAAACAAACAAACAACAACAAAAAATGGGCCCCATCAAATTAAAAAAGTTTTTGTACAGCAAAGAAAACCATCAACAAAATGAAAAAAAGCAATCTACTGAATGGAAGATGATATTCACCAATGATACATAGGATAAGTCATTAATATCCAAAATTTATAAAGAAATCATAATACTCAAAACCAATAAAACAAACAATCCAATTAAAAATGGGCAGAGGATCTGAAGAAACACTTTCAAAAGAAAACATACAGATAGGTATCTGGCCAACAGACATATGAAAAAATACTCAATGTCACTAATCATCAGAGAATTAAAACCACACTCAGATATCACCTCACACCTGTCAGAATGGCTGTCATCAATAAATCAACAAACAACAAGTGTTGGTGAGGATGTGGAGAAAGGGGACCCTGTGTGCACTGCTGGTGGGAATGCAGACGGATGTAGCCACTGCAGAAAACAATATGGAGGTTCCTCAAAAAATTAAAAATGGAACAGCCTTATGACCCAGTGATTCCCCTTCTGGGTATATATCTGAAAAAAAACCAAACCACTAATGTACCTCCTGTTCATTGCAGCATTATTTACAATAACCAAAATATGGAAGCAATTCACGTGCCCATCAATAGACAAATGGATAAAAAAAGCTGTGGTACATACAGAGGTGGGCAAAAGTAGGTTTACAGTTGTGAGTACACCAGACATAGCTTATTCTTATATTACTTATTAATTTGTGTATTTCCATAAGAAAAACTGCAAAACTACTTTTGCCCACCCTTTTATATACAATGGAATACTACTTGGTCATAAAAAAAAAAAGAAATCTTACCATTTGAGACAATATGTATGGACCTAGAGGGTATTATGCTAAGTGAAATAAGTCAGAGAAAGAAAGACAAATACCACATGATTTCACTTATATGTGGAATCTAAAGAGCAAAAGAAACAAACAAAATAGAAACAGACTCATAAAGATCAGAATGATGGCTGCCAAAGTAGATGCTGGTTGGGGGTTGAGGGCTGGATAAGAAAGATGAAGAGATAAAGAAGTACAAATTGGTAGTTACAAAGTAGTTGCAAGAAGGTAAAGTACAGCACAGAGACTATAGTCAATAATATTGCAATAATATGTACGGTGCCTGGTGGGCACTCGAAATGTTGGGGGGGATCATTTTGTAAAGTATATGATTGTCTAACCACTATGCTATACACCTGAAACTCACATAAACTAATATTGAATGTCAACTCTAACTGAAGAATAAATGAATAAATAAATATATCACATACACACACAAAAAAAGAGACAAAAGTCTAAAGACAAACAGAAAAAAAAATGCCTTCACCAAAGTAGCAAAAACAAATTTTTTTTCACTTACTGGGTTATAGAAAGATCAAAGTCTCCATAAAATTACTTTTTTATAAATGGCCAATCATTTTATAGGGAACAGGAAAGGTGATGTTAAGGTATCTAATATCCATGCATAAAAGATACCTCTTACCAGTCCCAGGAAGCATAGACAGGAAGAGTTCATTCTAGAGCCCAATGAAGTTGAACTTTGCCTTTGACATATACTAGCCATGTGGCATTGGTCAAGTTAGTTTCTACATGTCTCAGTTACCACATCTATAAAGTGGGGACAATACTACTACACTTGAGAGTGTTGCTGTGAGAATTGAATGAGATTCTTCCTAATATATGCTTGGCATGGTACATCCTAAACTCTCATCAGACGTTGTTGCTATTAACCCTCATTATTACTTAGTAGGTTGTCCACTAAGAATAAATATATACTTATTTTCTCATAAATAACTAAGGTGGAAAAGACTTTCAAGTTTGTTTTTTTTCTCCTATCACTTAAATTCAAGTAGCATAAAAACTAAAGAAAACAAAACCATTGGAGAAGTTTAGATTAAGCAGTACATACCAGTACTTTCCTATTCCCTGAATTTATGTCACTTGAGCATAGACGTTTTTATAGTTAGCAATCACAGTCTTAGTCTTTGGTGGAAAGTCCTCAAATTTCTTAGATGATATTTTAATAAATTTTATTCTAACCTTATGAATGCTCATAGCTCCTAAATTTCTCCAGTTAATACATATATATGGTTCCATCATCTGCCCACCGTCCCATGTGCTGCACAGTAGACATCCCTGCACAGGGTCCACAAAACACATGCTGGAAACTTGTGCAGTATTTCACCTACTCAACTACATCTCCTGAAGATCCTCAATGACACTGGATTAGAACCCTACCTAACCTAGAAACCTGATGGAAATACCAAAGCCAATCAAGCAAAATTTTTCTTAATCCTCTACTACTTTCTAAAATAATCTTTAAAAAAAAAAAAAAAAAACAGCAGTGGAATCTGAAGGCAAATAAATTATTTTTATAAAACACACATACATATACACATACTTTAAATATCCTCTTCAGTTCTAAGTCAGTGTGTCCTACCAATGGAAAGAATGGGGTAATCAATAAGATGTATTCCTCAGAATCTATTTTGATACACTGATGAATACTATAAAAGATATACAAATCAAATTACTAATAAATTTAATATTTCTCTTCTAATTAAGTACCAGTAATAACAGAGTCTATATAGGCAAAACTGAGTTTTAAAAAATAAAACAAAACAAAACTCCTGCAGTTGATCAATATTACAACAACTTCTCCCCTAGAACTTTATTTTAGAATACTGGCTAATTTAGACAAACCTATTCAAAAGACCTTAAGTTTCAACGGCTCAGATTCTAAAGAAGCTAATTTTTAACCATTAACTCCTGACTACC